GCTAATGAAAGAATACTTATAGTCCATTAAACCTTTTTTCCTTCTGAAAGCCCAGTTCTAAGTTCTTTGACTTCAAAGTCCCTCTAACCCTTGAAAACAGACAGCTTGGTTTTACCTGCAATAAATTTGGGATTATTGCCTTTGTATTTTCACTTTGTTTTTAATTAATATTTTTTCTTGTTCCTGTGAAAGACTCTTTGCAGAGAAAACCCAAGGTTTTATATTATGACAATAAAAATGTCTTATTTTTAAGTCATTTATGCAGATTTCCAGTGTATCTTATGCATTAATCTCTTTCCAGAGAAAAATGTAGTTAGGAATACCATAAATGGTTTTCATGGAAAATGTGGGCAGAAAGAGAAATTGAAGATATTTACAAATAAGAGATTGGTCTAATAATTCTTTATCAATGAATGCAGTTACGTTTTTTCTTATATAGTAACACTAATATTTTGAGATTTTTCTCATACTTTCAAGTTTATCTCAAGTATATTTGATATATTCAAGTATAGCTGATATGAAAGCTAAATACCTGAATAGGACTATGTAAATCAAGTGTATGTGGACTACATAATGTTGGAAATGCAAAATAGATGCTTATTATTTAAAGAACTCCCATTAATAAACCTTTTTATGTGAGTAATCATGTTTAACCTACATATTCTTTAAATCAGAGTCTGAACATCTGAACACTTTTTGTTTTCAGACAAGTGTTGTATTGCTTAACATAAAGAATACATTGTATAACTCTAGGAAGCACAATTTTGTAATATGAGGCTAGACTTGTAACTTATAGATGTCCACAAAAGGATGTTTAAGGGAACAAAGAAACAAGTCATTTTCCTTTAAACTTTTGCAGAAAGGTTGCAACCATATATCAATATAGATCACTATACATATTCACGCCAGATGCTAGTGGCTCTCGCCTATAATCCTAGCTCCTCAGGAGGTTCACAGTTGGAAGCCAGCCCAGGAAATAGTTCACGAGACCCAATCTCAAAAATACCCAACACAAAAAAGGACTGGCAGAGTGGTTCAAGTGGTAGAGAGCCTGCCCAGCAAGCATGAGTTCAAATTTCAGTACTGAAAAAGAACATGTGATAGCTATCCAGTGCCCAGGAGTGACACCATTTTTTATGACGAGAGCAACCAGACCCCATGGACATAGTGATCATGTGGTTGCTGGTCAACTACGAGAGCTGTGTTAGGTAAGCATGTACTGAGGGCTCAAATCTGTGAACTTCTAGAAAGCAAAAATGGTGTCCAGTATGGCTTTGCATCGAAGGACCTACTGCAGAGCCCGGTTAGTGACTGAGAAGAGCTCACTGACTTTTCATTTGCACCTTGTCCTCGTTATTGTATGGAACTTAGGGCAAAACTTTGGTGTGTGGTCCATATTAATAAGGACGCAATTAGGAGTCTCGTTTAAACGTCTTGGAGCTCCAAACTCACACTCAGTGTAATTTCCTTTCCTTTCTTTTTTAAAAATTACATTTACAATGGATTTCATCATCAGTGTACAATTATATATTTCAAATTTACTTTGTACATGAGATCACAGCCAAGGAGGCTAACCACAATTGAAAGTTTTATCACAAACCATTTTTGCCATTTTTTCTTACAATTGAACATCTCCACACTCATCACTTCAAACCTTGACCAAGAAATTTGTTTAGACAATTCTGGTAATAAAGTTCCTTTTCTCCTTTTTCCAGTCATGTACTTTTCAATTTGATCTTTGACTTCAAGATAGTGGGGCTGAGAGTGTAGCTTAAGCGTTAGAGTACCTACCTTGCTAGATCAAAGCTTGAGTTCAAACCTCAGTTCCACGAAAAAAAAAAAATCAGAATAAGATTTCCAGGTAGTTCATTTGATTGGTACAGAAAAACCAGTTATTGATCCCTGATGCAAAATACGCAATTGTAATACTAAACTACACCAGTAGGTGGCGATTTTGTTTTGGTTTGTTTTGGTTTGGTTTTTGTTTTGTTTTGTTTCGTTTGCAGGTCTCTCACAGGCTAGCCAAGCCCTCTACCCCAGCCCCTAGGTAACTTCCTGAGACCACCTATGTCTTTGACTTGCTCTTGTCATTAAAAAAAAATGATGTCCAACCTCAGTAGGTATAGGAAGATGTGCAGATAAGAGGGGCCACACTTTGCCCTCCAGCTCATGGTTTTGCTTCTATACTGATTTGCCTAACATCTAGATCATCATTTGCACTAATATGTCTACATCACCTTGGAACAGTGTTCTGAGGACTGAAATTAGTGAATGGTCTCTCAACGCCAACCAGAGCATCTCAGGATTCCCAAAAAAAGCTGCAGTAAATCTCAGGAGGTTCAACATTTGACTTTAGACCTTGACATCAAGTGTTTTGTTGTATTTGTAGGAATAAGAGCAATTCTGCCAAGCTGGATAACTTAAAGCTAAAAGTAGACCCTTGGTAACCTGGCTATGGAGTGTAGAGTTACCCAATGCATAAATTACAGGTTCTAGAATAAAAGCCTTGCATCTAACATTTGCTACTGTATGACCTCAAGCAAATCATTTGACCTCAAAAGGATTATATGTTGAAGGGAGAAATCCTACTTAGCTCACAGAGTTGTCATGAGGAATAAGTAAAATAATGCAGTGAAGAATTTGTCCCAGGACTGTACTGATATGAGTGTTCAATAAACTTAGCTACTGCTTCTGGTATTGTTTCTCAGAGCAACTATTTTCTCCCCAGGAGTAGTGCTTCAGGGAGGCATCCCCTCTGGAGTTGTACATTGACCAGCTCTCAACAGCTCTACAGTCCAGTGACCATTTCTGCCTGTCTTGCCTGTTATCCCTGAGCAGTGATAAAATGTTGTTCAAAGACTTTAAAACCACTCTTGCTGGAGACTAGGGTGTAGCTCATTGATAGAGTTCTTCCTAGCATGCATGAGGCCCTGGGATCCATATCCAGTTATCGAAAAAACAGAAGAAGGGGAAAGAAATAACCAGTTGGGTAATACATAAGCAATAGAACTTTATTTTTCAAAGGTCTGGAGATGGCAAGTCCAAAATCAAGGTGCCAGAGGTTCTGGAAAAGACAACTTCCAAGATGGTGTCATGGAAGGGCAAATGAGTCTTGAGTGAAGTCACTTGTATAAAGACCTTAGTCCCATTCACAAAGGAGGAGTCCTGGTGACTTAATTACCTCTGAAAGGCCCCACTTCTTACTTCTATTGCATATATTGTTTTGACATAAGTTACGGAGGGATACGACATTCAGACCATAACAACTGCCATGCGTGGTCTTCTGAGTTACACTCTGCAAATAGTTCCCTTTCCAAGCTTAATTCCTTAACCCAGGAGGAGGAATCAGAAATAAAATAGTCCTGAATCTAAAAAACAAATTGTCCAGTCTCAAGTTCACTCATCCAAATAAAAGAGTCTCATTCTAGAAATATACTCTGTTCTCAGACTCACAAAACTCAAAAGCAAAGAGTGAGTCTTACAAGCACTTGTCAGTCTCTTTCTCACTTTTTAGTTGAGAGGACCCAGGTTCTTCAAGGTAAGTGACTTGCCCATGCTCTATTCCAGAAGTTCACCTCAGAGCCAGGATTAAACCACCTAATTCAATTCCTCATTTGATTTTTCTCCCACCTCTTCTATGCTACCTACTCCCCAACTCCCACTTCTATCACCCATCCAGGTATAAACTCAATACACTACCAGGAAACTCCATACTAGCATGGACCAACTGGCAGGTCTAGGCCAGGACAGTGACTGAATAGGGCAAAGAAAATGGAGATGAGGATGCACCAAGGATGTGTGAAGTGGAAATGTTGGTTAGAAAGAGAGCCAGCCCTTTCTGTTAAGCACTTCTCTCTGGATTTTCTCTCCTCTCTTCTATTGCTGTAGGTGAGTCTAAATAAGCCATTTACTCTGCTTCCATGACATTCCATCAGCCCCTTTTCTGATAAAAGTTTGCTTTAATTAAATGTGGGAGGTTTATTTTTGTATTGTGTTGTAAGGCATTTCATGATATAAAAATGCTAAGATAAAGAAACCTTTAAAATCATTCATCTGGACAGTCTGAGAAAAGATGTCACCACAGTGCTGACACCCAATCTTATTCTGTAGGGTAGCACTGACTTGTGGGTTTCATTATGTTTATAATTACCCATTTCACCTTCACACAAAAGGTCCCTTGACAACAATCATATAAACTTCCTGGGGAAGTAAATTTGTACACACTTGCTGACTTGTTGAGGTGCATTCAGATTCACCATGGTATTTACTTCTCCAAAATAATCTGGAAAGCATGAACAAGAATTCGTTTTATGAAACAGAAAACTGAGGAACCAAGAGGGTAAGAGATTTCCTTGGGAGACCTCCATGCTAGTTTTGAGGAGCACAAACCTAGGTTGTTAGTTACAATACCTGCTATTGTCCAAGACAAACTTGCTGCCATGTGTTGTATCATTAAACCCCAAAAAACAGCTGAGGCCAAAATTTGATCTCAAACAGATGACATCTTTGGGTCTGAACTTTCACACTTGGAGCCTGCTGATGACTGAGATAATAGGATGGTTTGCTAAAACCAAAGAGCAATCCAGATCAGGTGGCTCTGTTATGACTTAGGTGCTTTGCTGGGGACAATACTGTCTGTTCCCTGGTCCCTCCTCAATAAATAAAAGGGGAAAAGGGATTTCTTTCTTTCCCCAAAGCACCTTTCTTATGATGGAAAACATTTCCCTTTCTCTCAAAACCCCAACATCTTTTCCTTCTACTGACCCAGGAACCCAGTAGGACACTTGGACTCAGGGCAACAGGACACGTGGGTCCTGGGTGTGGAAGCCCTGCGCTGACCTCCTGTTCTGTCCCAGCCTCTGGCTCCCTCCCAGTCCTCCCCAGGGGTGGAGCGCGCACCTGGGGCCCGTCCATATACCCTTTAACCGAGCTCTCGGGGAGGGAGTTGGGGACTGTCCCCTGGGAACTCCAAGGAGGGTGACCCCTGCGCGCCCCTGGCCATGGCGGCACCGTCGCGACTCCTCATCCGCGGGGGTCGCGTGGTCAACGACGACTGCTCGCGGGTGGCCGACGTGCTGGTGGAGGACGGCGTGGTGCGCGCGCTCGGGCGCGACCTGCTGTCCCCGGGGGACGCCCCGGCCGGGCTGCGGGTCCTGGACGCGGGGGGCAAGCTGGTGCTGCCCGGCGGCATCGACACGCACACGCACATGCAGTTCCCCTTCATGGGCTCCAGGTCGGTCGACGACTTCCACCAGGGCACCAAGGTAGCTACGGCCTCGGGATGGAGGGGACCGACGGAGTGGGCCAGGGCGAGCCGTGGGGTCCTGCGCGGGATCCCGCTGGGATCAAGGCATTCCCAGCTCCCCGATCCACGCCATGAGGTTCCTTGGGGTCCCCCTTTTCAGTGGCTTCAGCCCAGCCAGCTCTTCCTTAACTTTTCCCTGTCTCAACCCCTTTAATCCTCCCTTTCCTGGTGTTGCGTGTAAGTCCACAGAGCTTTTGTACTGTGCGACCTATAGAATCTTTTTTTTTTTTTTAAATATAGGCTCTCCCAGTCATTTCTTCTGGCTCTCCATCCCAGCCAAAAGCAAATGAAAGACCCATTCACCTAGAAGGGTGACTCCAAGAGTAGTGGGAGGGAGGGTGAGGTCTGAGTGGGCTGGAGACCTAAGGCATCCACGCCCCTCCTCTACCCAGCCCTGGAGGAGTAACACAGGGGTTTAAGGGAAAATATTTCAAGAATGGTGGCCCAGCATTCGCTGGCCCTCACACCGAGGTGACCTCGTCCCGCCTCTTCTCCCCACTGCTTGGCTCAGGAGCCACGGAATGTGGATCTTGATTCTTGCTGCTTGAAAACCCTTTGCGTTAGTTAGTGATGGTGTAGGAGGGCAGGCAGATCCGTATTCCCAGGTGGGAGAGGCTGGAGGTTCTGTAAACAAACACCTAGAAGCTTTGGCCAATGAAAGGAACCTTAGACATTTCCACTGTGCTCCTAAAAACAAGACCAGGAGATTAACAGTTCAGCTTTACAGGCAACGGTCAAATCCACTTTCAGCACTTGGGTGAAAGGCAAACCCACATCATCCTCGAGTTCTGTGATTTGGTTGGCCTTCAAAAAAAAATGGCTCTTTCCAACATGAAGATGTACTGATTTCCTTAAGGCCAAGGCTCATGACTCAGGAACGTGTGTGAGGTTACCCAACAACTACACCACAACGTGTGAACCGGGTCAGGCTGTCAGGTATTAACCAGCAGTTTTTCAGAGCAGTTGAGATGATCCTTACTTCCTGTACTGTCCTGATTTCCAGTAGTTTCACTCAAACTTGCTCCCTTTCTCCCTCCCCTCCCTCCCTCCTATTTCTCCTTCACTCCCTCCCTTCACTCCCTCTTAACTCTCCCTCCCTCCCTTCTTCCTTCTTTCTTTCCTTTCTTCTTTGGTGGAACTGGGGATTGAACTAAGGGCCTTGCACTTGCAAAGCAGGCGCTCTACTGCTTCAGCCATACCTCAAGTCCATTTTGCTCTGGTTATTTTTGAGATGGGGCTCTCATGAACTACTTGCCTGGACTGGCTTCCAGTGAGGGATCCTCCTGTTCTCACCTTCTCAAGTAGGTAGCAGTCAGCTAGGATTATAGGCATAAGCCACATGCCACTGGCTACCTGTCCCTTTCAACTTCCCAGTCCTCTAAGGTTTCCCATAATGTTTAACAGAAAGATGAAAGGCAGGTAGATTTGATGCAGAGAGGAGAGCAGACTCTAATCAATTGGGGGCAGTTTGCCCAAATCAACATTTGGAAAGCTTCTTCTAGTTACTTATTATTGACATTTGTCCTCAGGTCAATAAAATCTTTTTGGATGACAAATCATCTGCTTTCAAAATTGGAAAACTTTGTCTTGAATACATCCTTTTCCCTTTTGCTAAAAAGTAATGAACTCATTTTTACATTTTAAGTGAATTTGTCAGATATTAGAGTAATTCACGATAAGTAGAACAATCATAAATTAGGAAGAAGAAAAAATTTGCAATACAGTGTGCATCCTCTGAACAATCGCGAGTGTTTTGGTGTATTGCTTTTATGGTTTGTTTGTTTGTTTTTGTGGAATCAGTGTTCAGAATTCAAGGCTTCATGCTTGCAAAGCAAGCACTCTTTACCACTTGAGCCATACCGCTAGTCCATTTTGCTCTAATTATTTTGGAGATGGGGTTTTGCAAACTATTTGAGGCCACTCAAACTATGATCCTCCAGCTCTCAGTGTGAAGTAGCTATGATGACAGGAATGAGCCACCAGCACTCGGACAGCCTTTATGCTTTTCGGTGGATGACACTATACCCAGTTGAGACTATAATTGCACCTATGTGTATGAATGTGTTTGGGTGCTTACCTGTATGTTTACAGTTACAGTGTGAGCCTTTTCTGTTATCAAAGACTCATCATTAGCAGAGTGTCTGGACTCCCTTGAACATTTGCAGGGTGGGGAGAATCTGTTCCCTGCTAGCAGCTGCCAAGGCCATGAGCAGCATTCTCTTCCTCCAAGCTGAGCAGTGGTTTTCATCCATCCTTCTCTACCATCAGGGCTCCAGATGAAGCAGCCAAGAAGACGAAGTTGGAAAGGTGTGGGGAGGGACTTTTCTTGTCTTTCTCAAGGTCAGCTATGTGTGCCCTGAGGTCCTGAGAGCTGATTCTTTGACTTCTATGTGTTCCTTAGATATTCCGGAATTTTTCTAGCAATTTGCAGCTTCTGCCTTAGAATTTGGGTCCTTGACCTGTTGCCAACATGTGAACGGATTTATCTAACAGCTGATTCTCTAGGCATTTCTGTACTTACAGATGGTCAAAACATTAAATAAAAATGTGTTCTTCATGTGCAGGAAATGATGTGATCAGAGAGAGTAAGGTTGAAGGTTTAGCAAACTCAGAATTCATGCTGAATATTAAGCCAAACTCACAAAAGGGCTGGTTGGCTCCCAGGAGATAACAGCTGTCACCCCAACAAACAGATGAGGGACACAAAAGGAGCCACTCAAGTGCCGGCCTGAGTTCCGGAAGAAGGGCACCATAGAATTCTTTGGTCTTCTTTCCCAGTGTTCACAACAATCCCCAAGGCAATGTCAGTGCATCTCTGGTTTGAGACATTAGGGACAAAAAAATGTTTGTAAGTACTCGTAGTATTATTTGTTAAACTTGAAAAATGTCTTCCTATTAACATTGAGAAGCAACTTTTATTTTGTTGAATGCTTACTACTTACCAGCCACTACGCTAAGGCATGCATTATCTTCCTCCATCCCATTCTCTATTTTTTTACAACTGAAGAAATTGAAACAAGTTACCTGCCTGAGCTCACATACCTAGTAAATGTCCAAGTAAGTGGCTTTTCAAATTTGCTACAGCCTAACTCCATCATTAGAGCTCTTACCTATTTGGCTCTATGACTTTCCAAAAAAAAAACACCTAAAATTCAGATTTCTTACAGTGGCAAATGATGGGTGGGAAAGCTATATATGTGATATGTTGATATAAGATGGATTTCTCAAAAATAAAACATAGTCATCCTCAGGAAATCCATTAGCCCTTCACCTTCCCAAAGCTGGAGGCAGTTAAGGTTATCAAAATAAATACATATTGCAGGCATTGTATTTGTAAGGCGTTCGTGCATGCATTTATAGTCCTCTCCAAGGGTACAGAAGTAGGCACCCTAAGTACAGAAAGCTATAAAGTAAAATGATATATCATGCTTTCAGGAGATGGGCCCCCAAGGTTAGACCAATAGCTGTTTGCCTTCTGCAACTACCAGGCTGATCATTTATAATATCTGACAGATAGAAAGGATATTGTTTGTGGTATTCTGTTTATTGATCACTGGATTGTGAGGAGACCCAATTTAAAAAATGAAATATAGGTCAACTAAAGGTTATATATTTTGTAAATCTAATTAATTCATGTCAGACATTGGTTTAAAGCTTGTGATTGATATACTTGATTACAGGTAAATGCTTTCTATCTGATGTAACTAATGGAGACAGTTCTGCTTTAAAGAAGTCATATTTCATTTTGTCGTTTTACATGAGATGGACAGGGGTCTTCCAATAATTCAATATTCATGAGGAAGGACAATGCGATTTTTAATTCAGTGGGTACTGTGAATTCAACAAGCTTGAAGGAATCAGAACTTTGCTTTTACTCCAGCCTGTGATAAGAACATACGAAGTATAAGAGTTTGGTAAGTTTTCAAATACATATGTTTATATTCAGACACAGACATGGTGGGAATGGGCAGATTCATATTAAGAACCTGGTAGAGTCAGTAGCTAGCAGCAGGGCCATCTTTTTAAAAATTGGGGGGCCAGGGGCCTTTGGCTCACGCCTGTAATCCTAGCTACTCAGAAGGCAGAGATCAGGAGGATCGAGGTTCAAAGCCAGCCCTGGCAAATAGTTCGCAAGACCCTATCTCATAGAGCCCTTCACAAACAAAAAAAAAGGGGGTTGGTGAAGTAGCTCAAGTGATAGAGCACCTGCACAGCAAGTAGGAGGCTCTGAGTTCAAAACCCAGTACAGCCAAAATAAATAAAGAATAAAACTTGGGGGAAAAACACAGCTTGTTTTTTTCTTTCTTTTTTAGTAAAGGACAAAAAGTTCTCAAAATTATTAAAAAAGATTATTTTTTGCTTTGGAACTTTTTGGTGAAATGTCATGGAGGTGACTGCTTGCAAGGCAGGTGTGACTGTGCACACACTCGTGGTTGCATTCATAGTTTCTCACCTCGTACATGAGCTCTGCTTTGGAAACCTGGAGAGCCTTTGCTGTTGCTTGCGGAGAGCTGGGCTTCAGTGGGGAGGCAGGTGGCTGATCAGGTGACTTCCGGCAAGTCACTTCCTCTTATTTCCTTACCTGTGAAATGTGGCATTTGTTGGATGAACAACTCAGTTAAAGTAATATTGTCAGACTTTTAGGATTCTTTTTTGTTTGTTTGTTTGTTTTGGAAGTCCTGGGGCTTCATCTCAGAGCCTATACCTTGAGCCACTCCACCAGCCCTTTTTTTTCAACATAAGGGCTCACGAACTATTTTGTCCAGGCTGGCTTCAAACTGCAATCTATCTGAGCTCTGCTAGGATTACAGGTGTGAGCCACCAGCTAGGCTTCTTTTTAGTCTCAAAAAATTAGGGGCCAAGTGTGCTGGCACATGGCTCCAGCTACTCAGGAGGTGGATCAGGAGAATCAAAATTTGAGGCCAGCCCAGGCCAAAAGTTAACAAGACTTCTTCTTAA